CCTCAAAAATAATTGCGTCATAACTCAATTATTTATATGTTTTAATAGTGACTCAATTAATTGCGTCAAATAATTGTATCAATTGCATCAAATAATTGCATCAATTGCATCAAATAATTGCATCAATTGCATCAAATAATTGCATCAATTGTGTCAAGGATCTACGAATTTTAGCAACATGTATAGTCTGATATTAATTAATTCTAATATGAATTAAGTATTATTTCAAACTTTCAGATATGATTGATTCTCAGATAATTTCTTTCATTTGTTTTCTAATTTATAGCTATTTTTTTCCTTAATATATTGTTTTTTTTTTGTTTTACTTTGGAGGTCTTTTATTATAACTGAAATTAAAACTAAAGCTTTTTATTATTGATTAATTAAAATGTTTTTCTACTGATTTATTGTTTATATATATATATATATGTTTTCTTTTGAATTATTTTTTATAACTTTGATATTATTTTTAATACTTTATTATATTTTATATCCAAAGAGCTTTATATAAGATGTCAATATTTTATCTAGGTCATCTTTGATTTTTAAAATCAATAATAGCAAAAATTTTTTTTTTAATTTTATTGTTTATTGAAATATATACTGTTTTGATTTTGATATATTTAAAAATACTTATTATTCTTATAGTTAAGGTTGTTTTATCAATTTTATAGAGTCTTGTTATAACTTGATTGTGAATTTCTAGAAATGAAAGGTGATTTTTTAATGAAACAATTCTTGTTATTGAAGTGTTCAAAAGTATTGACTAAACGTAGTTCAGGTTTATTTTAGTTGTATAAAAAAATATTATGGCATTATTAAAGTTGTTATTTTCTTTGATTATTTTAATTGAATCAGATTCTTTATATTTTTTGATAACATGTTAAATTTTTTTGATTGTATAATTCATAGAAATATCCATTAGAATTATTTGTATTGCTTCTAATAAAAATGTTATAGAAGTATTTTTTCTAAGCTTTCAGATAAAGCATTTGAGAATAGAGTATTATTATTAATATTAATAATAATACTTTGAAAAAAAAATATTTTAAAGTTAAACGCTCTCCTGATCGCATCTGTTTTGTTAAAAAAAATTTTTTTATGGTAATTTTAAGCAAGAAAAAATGTTTTACTCTTTTTATCGCAAGTGAGCCCCAGCTCAAGAACTTAAAATTCTTCAAGACAATTGGTACAGTAGGATAGGATCTCTGATCAAAGTCTATTCAAGTTTGAAAGTCTTGCTTATCCTTTGGTTGCATAAAAAAAGGCCTGTGGCAGTTTTTTTTTCTTTAATTCTCTTGCATCCCTCCTTATCTTTATTTTATCATAAAAATCATCCACATCATTACTATTATACTTGTTAAACCAAATACTTTCCAAAATACACACTCAAATAGAGTTAGTCAATCCTTATATATAATATTCTCATAGCAATATTTGTTATGCCATTTTCATTCTCCAAAAATTTTTCACTCAAAAAACTGAAATCAGTTTACTCCCTCCAGATGATCAGCACTCTTCAATTATTCAATCAGATTTCATTTAATGATCAAAATAAAAACCAAACAAGCTCAAATTGGTTTTGTATCACAACAATGATCATAACAATAATAACAAATAACTCATCACTAATGACCATAACAATAAATAATATCATGTGTATTCTATTATTTATAGCACATGGAAAGCTAGAGAGTTGGGATCACAAATCTATTAAAGAGTTCTTTTATTTAACATATGGATTATATAGTATATTGGATTTAGTTTTAGTTATAGTCAATTTTAATTTTCTTTTCAATTTTTTATATTAAAAAAATCAAAAGAATTCGCAAAATTTCTTGGGATAGTAGGTATAGCTGCTACTCAGTCTTATCTAATATATTAATATTAATTTTGAATTTTTTTACGATATTAGTTAGATATTGATAAATAGGCAAGTTAGCATTTAACTTTCCTGAAATAATAAAAGAGATGTTGTTTTTTTTAACAATATATACCTTGTTATATACAAATCAAAATAAAAAAATGATGTTTACCTATTGGAAAACCCCTCCTAAAAAATAGTTTGAAGTTGTTATTTGCAGTTGGTAGTATTTGTTGGATTGTTAAAGTTTAATATTATCTATTTGTTACTTTCTATTGCCAGAATTTGAATATTTTCATATTCTATAAAAACTTTTAACATTACTTTCTATATATAAAATAATTTAAAATTTTTACAATAATAAAAAAGATAATGTTTATCTACTTTAAACAATAGTTTTGAAATTTTTAATTTAATATTTTTATATTAAAATTAATAACAAAACTGATTAAAATTCTAATTATATTTAAAGAGTTAGAAGAATTATAAAAATTTAATAATTTAATATTATACAAAATAATTTAATTATATAATCTATTTTTTTTATAATAAAACAATTAGTAAATAGTTAAATTACATAAGTAAGACAATAGTTTTAATATTGAAAATTTAAATATTTAATACTTAAAATAATAATATTTAATTCTAGTATAATAATTTTATTATATTATTGTTTTTTAATTGAAATCAATAAACATAGATTAATTAGAAATAAAAATAAATAAATATTTTACTTATTATGTAAATTTAATAACAAGTAAATATTTTTTAATAAATACTTTGAATATAAAACCAAATAAATAAATAAATATCTTGATTATAAAAATTAAATATTGAATATTATAAGGTTATTACTTTTTTTAAATAAAGCATACCATATATGCATTTTATATTATTTTTTAAATTTTTTTGATTTTTTATAAAATCAATTTATAGATTAAAATATTTACAGTATTAATATAGTAATTTGAAATGATTTTTTATTGATAATAAAATTAAATTACTGGTTTTAATTGCTATTCTTTTTTTAAATTATAATTTAATGATATATTTTATATCTTTAAAAATAATTATTAAATAAAAAGAAAAAATTCAAAATAGATTTATTATCAAAGAAATATAAAATTTCTTGACAACATCTGCTTTTAGAAAGGATCACTAGAAAAATTAATCCATTGGTTCAATCACTTGCTAAAGTAGGCAGTCGTTGTTGAACTTTTACAAGTCGACCTCCAGCTCAAACGAACATAGCTAGAGTAAAAAAAGAATTCGAATATTAAAATGATCACAGATGATAAACCCGATGCATTAACCACAAATAAAAAAAAATCGGAAATGTCCATAATGAATGATGTACCAAAATCGATGAATACAGTCGATGAAGGAAAAGCAAAACCGGTTGTAATAAAATTTTCGTCGAAATTAAAGCCTGCGCAGACCAACGTTGTGTTGCCAACGTTTGATGAATTTGCGATAAATAAACCTCGTAAAATTCCAAATTCACCAATTCAACAGGCTCTTCATGTCATAAATTCATATTTCTTTCCGCCAGACAAACTTCCTGAGGGTAGTCTGTCCAAATGGCTTGACAAGATTAGTCGTTCTACCATTGACGTTAAACGCATTGCCATTATTGGCATCCACGGATGGTACCCTGGGGGACTTTTGAGATCCCTGTTTGTGCATTCACAAAGAGATGTATCGAAAAAATTTTGTGATATGATGACTAAAGCCGTGTTGAGATATCTCTCTCAGCATAACATCAACCTTCCAAGTGATGCGATCACTTGCATACCGCTTGCGAGTGAAGGGACAATAGAAAGTCGGGTGAAGTTATTGCATGAGGATTTGATGCACAATAAAACATGGTGTGAAGCATTATCTTTAGCAGACGTTGTATTTGTTGTAACTCATTCTCAAGGGACACCTGTTAGCACAATCTTCCTCTCTCGACTCATCAATGAGCATCTTGTGGATCCAAGGAGACAACGTATATGTATGCTAGCCATGGCTGGGATATCACATGGACCCTTCCCTTACATGTTAAAGAATTTTATTGTATCATATTACATTAGAGCGTCAGATACATCAAAGGATCTATTTGAATTCATGAATCCCGAAAGTATGGTTGCCAAAAAGTATTATGATGCGATCAAAGTTGTTATCAAAAGTGGCGTTAAAATAGTGTATGTCGCATCTCTAGATGACCAAGTAGTGCCGGTATGTACTTTTTTATGAGCTTGTCGGGACACTGAACCATAGGTTAATAATATATCTTATTTATAGCTATACTCCGGGTTATTCACAGGTCTCAGTCACCCATCAATTATGCGTGCAATTTATATTGATGGTCCATTATATCAAGAAAACGACTTCTTAACAAATTTAATCGTTTTTTGTATACGATTACGAAACGCTGGTATACTTGATCACGGTTTGATAGTTCAGTTAAGTGATGTGATCGCTGGTTCAATAATTGGTGAAGGACATTCATTATTGTGCATTGAGATCGATGTCTACGCGTAAGTCTCCGGTTCATTTTTTTAAGTTTTCTTTTCATAAGATCATAATTATTCTTTTCTTCTCAGACTGGCAGTGCGTTATCTTTTTGAGACAGCGCCTTTGGAAAGACACGAAATAAAAATTGATAAATTTCAAGCACAACACAAAAAAAATCCATTTTATCTACCATGGGCGTTGCGTAGAATCGTGGAAGACAGAATTGTCACCGGAAACCGGAGTTTCATGCACGAGATTAATATATTGAGAAAACAATACAAGGAATGGGAGCCTACGACAAAGGTTATGAAAGAACTCAAGTTTCGCCTGGAACCCTTCAAAGACGCTATTCTTGAGAGAGCGAGACTATAATGTGAGAGACTACCGGTTATTACATGATAGATTCACTATTCCTTCATGCATGTTAATTTAGGTACCGACATCTTAAAAATGAGGATGGTGATTAGTTCGGCGGATGTCACTATTTAATCACAGAATCTGATAGATTATTTATGTTACTATCTTGGAGAAGGGCAGAATCTTTTCATAAAAAAAATAACAAATATCGCTTTATGCTTCATCTTGAATAATGGTTTATCTTCACATCTTTGTATTATAAAATGAAAATTGCAAAGCCCACATTATTTTCAGAAAAGTTTATATCGCGACAGATTACAGTATTGCGTAACGATTTTGCGAAATCGCGCAAAATTTTTAAGCTTTGATATCTAATATAATTAAATAAGAAACATTATGTGTAAAAATTTGATTTTTTGAAAGTCACGCAACTATTACCGAAAAAAACGGCATAAAAAAATTCAATTTCCCAATCATACTTCCATTTATCTATATTTTCTCTTTAAAGTTGATATTGTAGGACACGTACCATAAACTTCGTTACTACCAAATAAGCGATTCGGATATGAATACATGCTAGATGATAAAGAAAACCATGAGAGTGTACAGTATATTCCTAATTGGAGACTATTGCTTTATTTTAACGTGTTATAAAGTGTAGTATACCGATCTCGAATTTCGATATTGCAAAAGGCAGTGAAAGAACGTGACAAGTTATGGATAAAAATTACCTTTTGAACTTACCATATTTATAAATACTGTAATGGGTGTAATTATAATATTATATCGACACTCCAAATCATTTTTTCTACTGGCGCTTCTTTAGTTATTTTAGCCTCGATTACAATCAATCTGTGTTCAAATGCTTGTTTTCTTCCTATAATTCTAATCTTCTTTACATACTATATTATATTGTTAAGAGGAGGTGATAAGTAAAAGTAAGGTCGATTAGATTTTAATAAAAGTCGATTTATATTCGATTACCTGTAAAAATATAGTTACATTATAGTCGATGAAATAACGAGTTGATTGAATTACATATACAGTATTAATGTTAAGATATTGAAACTTTTATATCACAAAACATCACTTACTCTTGCGTGTGTATACATTATCCAAACTAGCATATTTTTAATAGTGATAATAAATTTGGTATAACAATTTAAAGAGATAACGGTTTAAGATAAAGGTCAAAAGAATAATAAAAAGGCTGATATAAAACATAAACATAAATTTTATTTTGATTAATGTCAAAACATTATTTTATTTACTTTTATTTTATCATCTTAATATTTAACAAAATTATATACACAGTCAAACTTGGATATAATGAAATCTGTTTTATAATAAAGCTATAACAAAATGTTGATTATAGTAAATTTTAAGTTTTTAAATTTATTATAATTAAATTTGGAATTTTTTATTCACGGATTCAAAAGAATTTGTTGTATTTAGTATGATTTTTTAAATTTTTGTAAATCTTATATTACATGTTTTTTTTTATTTTCTACTCTTATAAAAATTTATTAATAAATTGTGAATTCCTTTTTTTTTAATATATTCATTAATACAGTATATTCAAGTATAATATCTAGAAACTTATTAATTTTTTTAAATAAACATTATATAATAATTAATTATCTTTTCTAATTTAGATTTAATTTATTATTTTTGGTTTTTACAAATTTAATACCTAATCTTTTACTATATATTCTTAATTTAATTAAAATTAAATAATTGTAAAGTTATTTTATAATTATAATTTTAAATTTAAACTTAACATTTTATATAACTTTATGTTTATAAATAAACATATTATTTTTTAAAAATATTATTATATTAGAAACTATAATTATTAGATAAATAAATTTAAAAACAATTGCTTATAAATAAAAACTCTTATCTATTGACTATTGATTTTTTAAAAATTATTTTTCAAGAAATATTTTTTCTTTCATTTTTGAAGACAAATAAACTTTAAAACTAAAAATATAAAAACTTTAAAAAACACTGTTGCATTGGAATAAGATCTCCAATTAAAACCTAAACAAGTTGAAAGTTTCTTTTAACTCTTGGTTGCATGAAAAAAGACTTGTAGCAATTTTTTTTATAATTTTGTTCTTTCTTTTATATAATTATTATAATTATTATTCTTTTTTTCTTTTATATATTAAATATATTCTCAATTATATATTCAAATAAAGTTATTGAATCTAATATTTGTTTTAACACAACCTTTACAAAAACTTATTCTATCAAAATTATTATTTTATATTATTTTTTTTATTTTTTCTTGTTTTTTCTCAAGTACTTCAAAAACTATACTCAGTTTAATTCTATTAAAAAATCTATATTCAACTAACAATCAATTAAATTTTTTCATTTCTTTATTACCAAAACCAAATATGCTTAAACCTATTTATAATTAGTTTCTATATAAAACTAAATTAATCCAAATCTATTTACAATTAATTCTTATAACAAAAATTTATATATTATAACAATAATAACAATAATGATTATTAATCAATTTACTGGATTAAGAGAATATAAGACTGTGCTCTGCACAGGTTTTAATAATTCCAAACTAATATTTATCAATATAATATAACAAAAAATTAAAGTGAACTTTAGTTATTCAACTTATTTATATTTTAATTACAATATTATTCTATTAATTATTAAACCTTTTATAATTATTGTTAACAATGGAGTTGTAATTTATAAATAGTAATGCTATTATTAAAAAAAAAAAGCAATCTAAATCTAATAAATATGGATAAAAGTAAAATACCTTTATTATAAATAAAAGTAAAATACCTTTATTATAAATTAAAGTAAAATACTAAAGAGTTATATTTTATATTTTGACAGCCTAAGCCAATACTCTTCTACTGCTACTAAAATTATACTTAATTATTAAAAAGAAAATAGTAATCTAAGTAAATACATTTGGTTAATATTTTATAAGAGAAATTATTAACATAAAAACAATTGTTTTAGATTTTAATACATATTTTATTACTTTAATATTTTTTCTTCTAAACACATTTAACTATATATAGATTTTGAAAAGTAATTAATTTTAACTTCAAATTAATATATATAGTAATCTTATATTCAAATACAATATTTTTCAAAATATTGTACCTTTACATTTTTTTTATATAAGATGATTTTATTCTTTATATTTTTATAATTTATTCTATTCTTATATATAAATAGTTTCTTTTTTAATTTTTTCTTTGCTTAAGATTTTTTTATTAGAAATATATTTATTATAATAGAAAGTAGATTAATATATATATGGTTTAACTTTATTTATATATCTTATATTTTAATATTAATTGTATAATAATAATAATTATCTTGTTAATAAAAATTATGAGATATACAGTATCTTATCTTAACAATAAAAAAAAATAAATTTAAAAACAATATTTATATATTTGTTATTATTTATATATAATATAATATAAAACAAATAGTATAAATTAAATTTATAAAATATAAATTAAAAACTTTCTTTTGATTATATTTGTTTTGTTAAAAAATTTTCTTTTATAGTTATTTTAAACAAGAAAAAATGGTTTATACACTTTATTGCAGATAAGTTTTAGCTTAAAAACCCAAAAACTTTCAAAATAACTGATATAGTAAGATATGTAATATTTAATATATAAAGATATTATAATATTAGAATTAATTAAAAAAAACTTAAATAAAACTCTCTCCTGATCATGTCCATTTTGTTAAAAATTTTTCTTTTATGGTAATTTTAAGCAAGAAAAAATGGTTTACTCTTTTTATCACAAGTGAGCCCTAGCTTAGGAACTCAAGATCCTTCAAGACAACTGGTATAGTGGGATGAAACCTCTAGTTAAAGTCTATTCAAGTTTGAGAGTCTTGCTTATCCTTCAGTTGCATGAGGAAAGGTCCATGGCAGTTCTCTTTTCTTCAGTTCTCTTGTACCCCATCTTATCCTTATTATATCGTAAAAACCATTTATACTATCACCATCATACTCGCCAAATCAAATACTTTTCAAAACACATTTACAAACAGAGTTAGTAGGTCTATTGTTTGTTTTAAGTCAACTTACACATACAATATTTTCGTAGCAATATTTGCAGTATTATTTTCAATTCCCAAAAAATTTTCATCCAAAAAAACCAAAATCAGTTTACCTTTAAGATAATCAGCGCTCTTCAATCATCCAATCAAATTTCGCTTAAAGATCAAAACAAAACTCAAACAAGCTCAAACTGGTTTTGTACCATAACAATGATCACAACAACAATAACAACTAACATATTATCAACAACTATAACAACAAACAATGTCACGTATACTTTATCATCTATGGTAACCGACGAGCCAGAGAGATGGAACAACGAGCCTATCTGGAAACTTCTAAGAAGAAATAATAGTTTTCTACCTATAGATTATAGTCTGTTTGATGTAGTTCTAGTTATAGTTACTTTTATTTTTCTTT